CGGACACATGGAACTGGTTGTTATGATGTAACGTAACAACTGTTTGTAACAGTTACATAAAAAAGTATATGGTGTGGTTCTCTCGTAAATGAAATGTTGGCAATTCAGTGCTGTTATTTTTTGGTTGCGATTTATAAGGACCTATTTATTTCCCACTAGCTATGACAATAAGATCAGCTGTTTATTAATAACTCAACGATCATAACTCAGGATAGCTGTCCTTTTTTTTCAATTAATAGTACCGGGGTGCCAAGTCAAGTCATGGATCGGTATACTGTAGTTAATTTCGATTGTAAAAACAATATAAAGGAAACTCATGTTTTATTTGCAACAAGTTTTGGCTTTTATTATCTAATTTTCACTTAAATTTCGATTTGTATTATGATGGAAATTTAAACCTGGCAATCCACAGCACATTAATTTATTTTACAATCGATGGTAAAATTCACTCGTTTATAAGAGCCTATATACTTGCATGAACATTGTTTTGACAGTAAATTTGCAGTTTGTTTAAATTAGAAAAGTTGATTGAACATTTTTGTTCGAATTCTAGTTTGCATAAAAAATATTGTTAAATATTGATTTCACTGCTAAATTAAAGTTTGCTAACAATTGCAATTGCCTCAGTACTTCGGGGTTTACTTTTTGGTAGGAGAGAGAGCCAAGTAAAATAATCAGTATTTTATCTGAACTACAATCTTTCCCTCTATATCTAGTAATATTTGCTCTACCAACTGATGTTTTCCATTTGTTCTGTATATTGTAATTTGCTAGTATACTGTGTACTTCTTGTTATAAACACATGTTACAAGCATTTTCTTTACTTTTCCTTTTTTATTTTTATCAACCATTGGCAACCCATAAGGCTAATGTTAAATTTCCAAATGAGTTGTGTAGCCAAATACGAATTTTCCTGAGGTAATGGCTGTCGTCAATCGCGTTTTTGGGCCAGAAATAAAATATTTACAGCATTTGAAAGAAATCGTCGAAGCCGTTCTCGAGATCTTTGAGCAAGCAAGTATACATACATGTAAGCAAAACATTGCTCACAAGAGGATAGGAAGAGGATACGTTGGATCCTGACGAAGTCGAGTACAGTATTTTGTTAAGTAAATAACAAATAATAGGTTTGCACTAATTTACTTATCTCAGGATCGAACCAGGACTTTCTCATTGCTATGCAAGCACTAAGTTATTCAGCCATAAATAGTTTTGATGATTTTAACATTATTTGTTCACACCATTTAAGTTTGTTTGAAATAAAATTGTTGATAATGTTCGCCCAAATCATCTCTCCTGCAACCAATTTTGGCTTGGTTAAAATGTTAACACGTTTATTACACTGCACAAAAACTCCTAAATTAAAAAGGTTGTGTATATAAAAAACAATTGCAAATTTTAAAAAAATACATAAAAGTTATAGTGTGTCGACATAAGACAGCACAAAATAAATCAAATTTTACCTAATTATTCCCTATGTGCTCTGTAGAATAAGCAAAATCTGTTCTTCTTCTCAGATAACACAGTTTTTTGTGTTTATGTTTGTCTACAAGATTTTTTAATATTTTAAAAAGATGTTTTATTTGAACTGAAACGCGAAAAAGTAACGTCTTCGAGAGATGTACATTAGAAGAAGAAGATTTCAATCTTATCTTTAAGAATAGGTACTTTTTAGTTTTAGAAACTTTAATATACATACTAATACTGTATGTGACAAATGAAAATTTACTCTGCTAACAATATGCAGTCACCTGCAAACCAGCATTTGACTACATGCTATTTTAACACCGTAATGTTGAAACGTATGCGTTTGTAAAGCGAAGGCACTACTGTTCGTGAAGAATAATAATGCGCTATTGCATTGGGATGGGATTGATAATTCTTTAGTTGTATTTAAAATTAGGTGATACCTGTCGACATCGACGGTTACTTTTATGTTTAAATAACACCAATCCAGTTTACTGTAACAGTAGCTGGATTGGTGTGACACTGTAGCATTCATAGGATAGAAAAAGTGAAGCTTACTGGATCGCTCTCGTTTTCCAATAAGGCTTTGTTGCGACGTATTTAACGTACTCGGAGTTTAAGGCACAGAGTTATTATTCACGATTGGAACTCAATAAACTTCTTCTTCGTCGTGGAAATCTGTTGGCTCAAGAGCAATGACCGGAATGTCACAATCCAAATCCAAAAATTAGTGCTCAAGTAGTGCTGTCGAATGGTACAAATATAAAGATTAGTGCTCATCATTAAGACAGTTAAAAAGGGGTCTCTTTTTTGGGTCAAGAGGTCAACCTGCCCCAGCCCCACCCACTCAAAATAAATTTTACCTTCCAAGTTGTGTCAAAAATTAGTGCTGAATTAGTGCTGTCGAATGGTGTAAGTATAAAAATTAATGCTCATCATTAAGATAGTTAAAAAGGGGTCTCTTTTTGGGGTCAAGATGTCAACCTGCCCCACCTACTTCAAATTTTATCTGGAGAGGGAACTTTAAAGGCCTCTGGGGCAGAGCACCAAGGAAATTTACCTCTTTTCTCTTTTGGGCTCATCTACAGAAAATACCTTTCTTTATACACCCCTACCAAAGTTTCTACGCCCAGCCGTTCTCACAAATTAGCTGTGCCAAAAAAACCCTTTTTCCTTCATGAGAATAACATGGGAATTTAATTTTAAAGGTCACTGGGGTAGAATTCCAAGGGAATTTACCTCATTTCTCTTTTGTTGGCTCATCTACAGACCAAGACCTTTCTAGACACCTTCTACCCTCGTACCTCTAATCTACTCTACAGTAGTGTACCGAGTTTCTACGCCCAGCCGTTCTCTCAAATTAGTGGAGATAAAGAAAAACAGTTTCAAATTAATATATAAATGCTACTGTTGGTTGGGAAATAATCAAACCACCGAGGTTCGAACATTTGTTGGCAGTCAAGTCCTTACTAGTTAGTGTTAAAGTCCATATTGCGTTGACTTAGTGAACAGAAGTGCAAGTATTTTGATTTCATCATATTTTTGAATGTGAAACCTGTTTTATATGCGTCTCATATTGGTGAAGTGTATATGATCGATGTCAACTAGATGTTTATCTCTTATTTTAGAGTATATATTTTGAGAGATTTACTCTCATTATGGTTTAAATAGCCTACCAAGAAAAAATAATAGTGTACCAATAAGAAAAAAATGTTTTTCCCTGAAGTTTAATTGGGTTTGAAGTTAGTTAATTCAATTATACAAAGAAATATAAAAAAAGCTTCATATGCATAAATTGAACGGAAAATTGGCCTTAAGATTGTCTTTGGCTCAGACATTTTTGAGTATGGTAAATAATGGACTTAAGGACATGTGACAAAATATTTGGTACTCAATATATTTACACCATAACTAACTACCGGTATTATTGGTCTGGGTAGCCGAGTGGTTACAGTGATCGCACCTTCAAGTTCAAATCTGAAGGCAACTCGATACCAATCGATATTGTTAACACATCTAGAATGTCATTATTCGTTGGGCTTTCAAATTATGCTATCTAAGAAAAGATCGACGTTATAAAGTATCACGGGCAGATGGAACATCTTGCAAAAAAAAAAAAAAAAACATTGAAAGCATGCGTAAAACACACACACACACAATTGAAGAAGCCCGATGTGAGGTGACATTCCCAAATACAAACGCGATCATTTTGAGTATAAAAATAAATCACAACCATTGACAATATATACCTAAATGTATAGAATGACAGAACATAAAATGGCAAAACAAGATAGCCTCTATCCGCGATAAAAAAGCTTTCAGTTCTTGGTTGGGCAAGGAACTAGAACCATTACCTGGATGCAGTTAGAAGACGGGAGTATAAAGTCACACCAGTAAGTGCACGCATACTTGATATAAATTGGTAGTCAAAGAAATCTTGGAAGAAGTATTAACCAAATGAACGGGTAGTCATGACATTATTCAGGTAGATTTACTCATCTGGCACGTCACAGTCAATCAAAATATTCTTTTTTTTGTAACATTTTATTTAATTTACAATCTGTTCAACAAAAAATAGAACAATAAGCAAATTTGTTAAAATTTAAACACAGAGTTAGTCTTTATCCAACAATAGAGCTAACACACAAACTTTGCATATTTGGTACAAAGTTTAAAGTCTAAAAACGACTACTTAAGTCCAAAACATGGTATCTTTTCAATCTGTATGTATAGTTGCTGTTGTCCAATAAATTTAAAGCGAGGTAGTTAGGATGGTACTCTCTTTAAGTATTTGGCACTTAATTTTGAAATTTCTTCTTTGACTGTTGGGGTTCGACTGTCCCTGTGAATTACTTCGTTATTGACGAACCATGGTGCCAGGAGAATGTTTAGAACTTTAGATTGGAATCTTTGGATGATGTTCAGATTGGATTCACTGGATGTCCCCCACAGTTGGATACCGTACGTCCACACTGGTTTTAGAATGGTTTTATATAAAAGCAATTTATTTTCTGTTGTTAATTTAGAATTTTGATTTAATAGCCAAGAAAATATTCTTAAATGGATTTTCTATTGTGTTTTATATACACTCATCCGGCGCAGGTCCGACAGTCGCTCTGCCGGCAGTGGATTTACCTATTACTCTAGGATTTTTCCAATGTATAATGTGAATTTTTTCATTCCTATTACACCACTCAATTATTATAAAAAAATTAGAAAAATTTCCAAAACATAATATAAACAGCTTACCTTGCCAACACCCCCGGGCCTGGCGAAAGAAAGGAATTACATTTTTTCAGCCAACAGACTGTTGTAAAGCAGAGAGAGGCAAATTATATTTTAAATATTTAATATTTTAAACAAAACCCTTATATAATATATTTGAAAATATTACCTTTCAGTTTATTTTTAATCAATGCTTATTGTAGTGGCTTACATATTCGTACATATAACTCTATCGATTTATATTTTATTTCGTAATGATTGCATTGTTGTGGTATGTCCTACGTCATAAGTGTCGATAGCTGATTGGCCAGTTGAGCTGACATTCAAAAACTACTGCCTATCGAAAAACTGGGATACCATTGTCACAAGATTTCTTAGATTTCACTCAATTTTTAGTTCAAATAGATTCTTAATGGCTCAAAATATAAACCCTCTTTATTCTTTTCAAACTACACCAACTAAAAACACAGAAGAACGCCCGGGCAGACCCCAAGATAACCACGCAGTAACGAAAAGGTAAGACCATAGCAAGCTTCATTTTGGAGCCTCACTGAAAGTGTAACGGAAATCTTTCAAATAGACCCATTGATTACTTCAGACGTCTTTTGTAAAATCTTTGTTTGCCAGAGATTAGAATAAAATACAATTCAGTTTCGTGCCATTCTTAACTGCTTTTGGGATTACCCATTCAACAGAATTAACTTTCTAATTAGGCCTAACTTACCTTTGTTTTTGAGATCTTTCAAGACCTGTGTAGCCTATCAGAGATAGGGCTAGGCCAAATCTACCAGCAAGTACGAGCCTGTTATTTTAACGGATTTTATGTCTAGTCTTCATAATTTGTGGCCTCAATTACCATTTTATTGTTCTGTACCTATGTTTCAATGGCTAAGTTAGTCCATAATTTATTAAGTTAGCTTGTTGACATAGAAGTTAAATCAGAGATAAGTAAGCCTTGCTAGGCCTAAACATGTTTCGACTAGGCCTACAATTTTTTATAGCCTATTTTCATCTTAAGAAGTAGGGTAGGCAGCCTATTAAGTTATACACAAAAGGCTGTAGACTAGCTCTAAGGTGTAATGCCTTGATAGGTAGGGTAGGCATACTTTGTTCTGGGTTCGTGACCTAGCTGCTGCACTTTACTTTAGGTCCTTCACTCATTCGAATGAAAATATCTATCGATTAATCGATTGTTTCATCCGATACATCGTTTGGTTAGTTAGGTAAGGTTAACCTATTAACCAAACGTTATATCGAATGAAACAATCGAATAATCAATATTTCCATTCAAATGAGTGTAGGACCTAAAGTAAAGTGCAGCCGACCTAGCTTGTTCGTTACCGCAATCAGGGTTGCCACCTTAGGTTTGGAAAAAATCGGGACATTGCCCACCTCCCCCCAAATTACATTAACAGGCTTAAGTTATATAAGGGCGTAAGGAATCAAAATCGGCTCTGTCCCGCCAGAATCGGGACGGGTGGCAACCCTGACCGCATTAGTACTAAATTTATCATTCATATGGACCAGCGACGCACATATAAATGTGATGGCCGGTTTCTACCCATAGACTGGTCACATCAAAATAGACTGAGGTGGCATAGGTATTTGTGTTGGTGTTCCAATGTTAATAAACAGCTTATCTTCTTAATGGTCTATTTGAAGCCCCTGAATTCTCTGCAGTAGGGATGAGCATCGATAGGTCAACCACCGATGGTAACATCTACGTCATCCATCGATGTAGGGCCTACTAATAAGTTAACATCGTTGCGAGACCATCGTTTTTTTTCAGTTTTTCGATAGCTTTTTGTACTCTCCAGTAGGCCTATCTCAATACTTGGCCAAAAACGTTGAGGTTTTATGAAAACATTGTAACAAAAACATAGGGTAACCTACCATCGATGTAAAAAAACATCAAATAAGTTTATCGAAAGAAAAACATCGATGTTTTAAAAACATCGACTATCGATGCTTATCCCTACTGGTGGCTTTGGTCTAACTTACAGGGATGTCTGTCGCACATGTGCGTTGTGCGTCACTTTGTCTCTGTAGAAATGATGATTTAAGTTAATGATGTCATATCATAACTTAGTTGGAAAACGTTTTGTACTTTGCTGCATCTGAATTTTTTTAACTAGGTAGGCCTAGGCCTAACTAACACATTTCAACCCAAATATATGAGTGTAGGCCTAACTTAAAATGTCAGATGATCTGTTTTTAACTTATGTAGGTACCGTAGCTTTGTCATTAAGATCAGCTGTTAATGATCAAAACTGCATCTTTTTGATTGTTAGAAGAGCACTTTGACCACCTAGCTACGCAGACCACATAACTTAACTTATGGTTGCTAATAATAGGCTATTCTGGTTCCTGTAAAAAGGAAGAATGAAAGAAGAATCAACATGTTTAGCCTAGATAGCCTACAGTAGAGCCTGTACCTACATACTTAGCCTTTCTTAGAGGTTAACTGTAAGAAAGAACCTTGAGGTCTAAGTTCACATCAATAAAGGGATTTTCATTCATTCATTCATACTGTAATAAGATGGGTTAGGGTAATCAAAAACTGATAAATGTTATGCAATCATTTTACAGGGGTAAGTTAATTTCTGTAATGTGTTAGGCTAAGCCAAGGATGAACAGTACGTTAAGTTACTAAAATCTATGTATTGGACCAAAATCTTACTTAGTTAGTGATACTTAGTTCCTACGCGTTTTCGCCCCACTGTTACTTTCTGTTACTATTACTGATACCACTACTATTACTGATACGGTACCACTACTATTCTGATACCACTACTATTCTGATACCACTACTATTCTGATACCACTATTACTGTCTGGAATTACACTGTTGATCCAGCCAATATCTTTAAACGCCCAACCCTCCAATCTAAAAGTGTTAAGTTACTAACTTTTTTTTAATTATTTGGCCTAGCTTACCAACGATTTCTTGATTTTGCAGGTTGCAGAAAGAGCTCATGACCTTGATGGTAAGTGAAAAAATGTAATTGAATCTTAAAACCCGTAGGCCTAAGTTATTTAAATGAAAAAGCTACCTACTTGTGCAATTTTTAATAAATCTTAATTTTTTTATTTTATTATTAATTTTTTTGCTAAATTAACTATGGCATTCTAAGCACTTTTTTATGCTTACATTTTCGAAATAGTAAGTATTTTGCAATGTCTTAGCGATGGTTTAATTGCACAAGAACACTCTGGAGCTAACATACACTTACAACTAAATTAAGTTAATTTATCTTATAGCTTTCTACATAAAAAAAAAAAACACAAATTAAAATTCTCATACATTAGTCATATGGAGAAAAGAAAAAAAAAAACTGTGTACACCGCTAGTTGCATGTTAATGGATATATTTTGTGTGCCGGTAGGCCTAATTAATTTTGATCTAATTTGCCAAATTTATTTCAGGCTTAACTTATTCATCCTATAACATATGTGCTAAAAAAACTGTTAGCGAATTTTTAGGGGAATAAGCTATTACCGTACCGTAGGTCTCATGGTACGGTAAGACATGTAGGCCTACCCAGGACCGATATTTACTTTTTTTTGTTTTGATATTTCCCAAAGACCAAAAACACCATCCGTTCAAATTCATACACGTGATTGTTCATATAACCCGAACAAACATTATCAAATTTTCAAATCTTGGTCTTCGGCTAATGACAGCGTTGTTGAAATAGTGAAACTAAAGGCCGACGTTTTGGATGCATAGCATTTATTCATCTTCAGCGCAAACTACTATTTAACTCAGTTAAACTCCATTGGCCTGTTAGACCAACTGGTCATCACCCGAAGACCAAGACAATCAGCCGTGACCATAACTTAGAAGCCTATCATCTAGATTATCAAAATACAAATAAATTTGGTACAAACGTGTAAACCTACATTTATTCAAATGAGTTTGCGAACCAGCGTGATCAGATCATGTGAAGGGGTTTTTATGGGGATTTGCCGGTATGGGGTGAAAATTGTTTTTTCTCATTTTGACCCTCAAAACGTAAAATTTTCCAATTTCTCTCTATTCCATTTTGAAGAGCTTAGAAATCAATTTCTGTAGGCTAGCCTAATTAAGTTTTTATTTACAATTAATTATTGGTTAGGCCTACTTAGATAATAAAAAAAGTTTTACATTTAAAATTCCCATTATTGTTATGGAATAGGCCTAGGCCTACTTAAGTTAGGCCTATAAGTAAACTGTTATATTTTGCTTTTTTATGGATATATTGTGAAAAACTTGGCAAATTTATTTATTTTATAGGCCTACTAAGCTTTTAGTATTTTATTAAAAACACTTAATGAAATAAAATGAAATGTATTAATTTGCTTTTAACATGAAAAACATGCATTCCAATCGTCAATGTTATAGTCACTTATCATACAAAGCAAACCATGCAAAAATACAGATTTGAGCACAAAACCATGCATTCTACTCTACAAACTTCTAATGCAAGCAAAACATCTACTCACACAATAAGCATACATCTTTTCTTAATCCAAATCCTCAAGGCTGGCTGGACATCTATTAATAAGCCAAAATTTCAAAACATTTGTGATTTTTTTACTTTCCAGTTCCTTTATTGATTTGGGTAACTTATTGAAAAATATTGCCCCCTTGACATAAGGGCTGTTTTCTGTTCTTTGGAAATTTCTCCTCTCTCCCTGGAAAAATAATTACCCCTGTCTAGTGTCATGGTCATGTATTTGTCCTACATTAAAAACTAAATTACCAGAACAGCTGCTAAATTTAATCAAACATATAACCTGGTATACATACATTGCGTACATAGTCATAATACTATGTTAATCAAAAATAACTTTACTGAGAGTCCTCGGGCTGAATTTTGCAACTAATCTTAGAGCTCGTAGAGCCAATAGGTAGGTATTTGACTTGGTATTGAGACTATATTCTACTAGCCATAGTGTAATCATCAATGGTTTACAAATTATTCCAGATGTGTACTGACAAGTCCGTGTCTGCATTTCCTGATGGTGAGAACCTTTTCAAGTGGGTAGCAACTATCACCGGCCCAATAGAAACAGTAAGTAATGGATTGTTAATGCTTGAATAGTATTAAGTATGTGTGGTATTTTAGTCATGCTTTGTTCAGGCATACCAATGTATGGTTATAACAGCAGTTCGGTGGCCCCTTACCCATTTCTCTACCTCTCTATCCCCCTCTTACTGGCTGTAAATAGGAATAACATATTACAGAAAGTAAAGGAAAATGTTCTGATCACATTTTGTTTTAGGGTGTATATCAGAATTTTTTTAAGCCCCACAAATACGTATTCAAAGTTTTTTTTTTTTTTTTGCTGAAGTATAAAAAACATCTGTTTTGCAGGTGTACGAAGGTCTCACCTACAAGCTGTGCATGGAGTTCCCCAACAGCTATCCCTACACAGCCCCCGTGGTGAGGTTCACGACTCCCTGCTTCCACCCTAACGTGGACACCTCGGGCAACATCTGTCTGGACATACTCAAGGAGAAGTGGTCGGCTCTGTACGACGTACGCACCATCCTGCTGTCCATCCAGAGTCTCCTGGGAGGTAAGCATCGTAACTTACTACAGATAATTCTCCTTATTTGTGATAACTTAAGAAATACAATGGTGTCACAAATACAGGGTGAGTTTCTACTGACCGTGTTAACTTCGCCAGTAGGTTCTACTCACTAAAAGGAACAAAAAAGTTCATTTAAACCCATGTCCGATTTTCAACCGTTTGGCTGTAATAGGGGATTTTGTGTTTTTCTTATTTTATTAGACTTTGCTCCACAATTTATGTAATAAAAACTTAACCAATTACTTTGGAGAGTTATAGTTAAAATCATTGGAAAGAATATTAAATTTGCTATAAATCAAAGGTTTCATTCAGCAATTATACCATTACATAGTCCACGTTATATCCAAAATACAGTAAAAATGTCATTAAATTAATTAATTACGAAAATGTTCATGAGCCCACTTTGATACATAAACCTGCATTTTTGCAATGTTGAAATGCATAAAAAACTTGGTCATTTAATAATCTTTCAAATGATATGCTATTCAATACTATTATTGATATAAACCAGTGAAAAATTACTAATAAACTACAATAAAACACGGTTTACAGATTTTGTTTTTGCACAGTTTTACTGTTGATAATAATTACTGTATACTCCATGTTGTATTTTATTGAACAATCTGATAAGATTTGTACATTATTTTAACTTTTAAATATTTATTAAAATTATCTGAATTAATAAAATGTATAAACTCAAGGTATTTCACATTTTCAAAGATGTAGTGTGATTGATTCTTAAATGCTGTATAATTAGTTTTACCTTGTGCTTGATTAAGTCAGCTTTTATTGATTTGTCATCTATAGCTAGATAACTCAGCTGCTTAAACATACCTTGTTGAGTAATTTGCTGTTTTAACTTTATATTTCCAAGTCAATTTTAAGAGTTTTTTAACATTTATTAAACTATGGAGCCTTTTACCAATCAAGAGTATGCCAACATGACGAATACAGTAATTATTATTAACAGTACAAACTGTGTCAAAACAAAATCTGTAGACCGTGTTTTATTGTAGTTTATTAGTAATTTCTCACTGGTTTATATCTATAATAGTATTGAATAGCATATCATTTGAAAGATTTTTAAATGACCAAGTTTTTTATGCATTTCAACATTGCATATATAAATGCAGGTTTATGTATCAAACTACGTATTACGTACTAACTCTAGTTCCCGATAACCCGGCATTTCACAAACTCGGCACCCTTCCAGTCCACATTACGCCAAGTTTGCGGGACTCTACTGTACCACTAAGAGCTTTAGTGATATCATTGACTGGCGATATTAAGCCTTTCTGCAGCTGTTTGTTGGGGCAAGGTTGGAGAGTGTCCTTTAGGTTGTGTAACAGTTTTTGGTTGAACAGGATTTTATCAAGCTCATGAACATTTTCGTAATTAATTAATTTAATGACATTTTTACTTTATTTTGGATATAACGTGGACTATGTAGGTAATGGTATAATTGTTCAATGAAACCTTTGATTTATAGCAAATTTAATATTCTTTCCAATGATTTTAACTATAACTCTCTAAAGTAATTGGTTAAGTTTTTATTACATAAATTGTGGAGCAAAGTCTAATAAAATAAGAAAAACACAAAATCCCCTATTACAGCCAAACGGTTGAAAATCGGACATGGGTTTATATGAACTTTTTTGTTCCTTTTAGTGAGTAGAACCTACTGGCGAAGTTAACACGGTCAGTAGAAACTCACCCTGTATATTAGGCATTTTTTAATGTAAAAAGGTAATTATTGTTGTAGAAGTAGTATCTAAAAGAAAACTTTCAATAGATATCGTAAACAAACAGGGTTTTTACTAGCCAGTTTGAAGTTATTCCTTCACTTTGTTTCCTGTTTTATTCTTCAGATTTGGCAGTGCAATTATGATTTTTGGTCTAATGCTTAAAGGCTTTGTATGTTGAATTGGAAGTCGACAACAGCTCTTGTGTGATATGATTGAAAATCCTGATTTCTGGGGTCTAGGTTATTGTCTGTACGTGACAACTGGATGGATGTAGATAATTATTTAAGTAATTAAATAAATTAATAAATAAATTAAATTAAGTAGTTAATTATTAAGTGACACTACATCCATAGTTAAAGCAAAAGATATACCCAATCTAAAATTAGAACTCAACCGCTCACTCATAGATTTGTCCAGTTGGTTTACAGTAAATGGGCTTCAACTCAATAGTTCTAAAACACAGGTTATGTTATTTCAAACAATCGAAAATAGAGAGAATCAAAATTTTGAATTACGCTACCAAAGCGATACTTTACCATTCGTTGAAGATACAAAGTTCTTAGGCTTAATTATTGATAAAAATTTAACCTGGAAACCACACATAGACATGATACTAAAGAGGCTGAATACAGCCTGTTCTCAAATGTATGTTTTAAGGAATATAATTGATCTGAAAACTAAACTTACTGTATATTATGCAATGTTTTATTCCATCATGCAGTATGGAATTGAACTATGGGGCTCAACTTCATATGCCGACACAGTTTTTAAAAAACAAAAGAAGTATTTAAGAATCCTATCTTTTGCATCAAAAAGAGCATCATTTAAACCTATTTTAAAAAAATACGACATATTAACAATGCCTTCTCTATATATATTTAAAATGATGGTTTCTTTAAAAAGTAACTACCAATCATATGACAACAATCAGTTCATCCATCAATATCCTACTCGTTTTAAAAATAATTTGAAATATCCAAGACATCGCCTCTGTCTGTATGAAAGATCACCATTTTATATGAGTCTCAGGCTTTACAACAGTCTACCTACCAAATTCAGACAAATTACCAGTATATCAAAATTCAAAAGCGAGTTTAGAATGTATCTCTTACAAAAACAGTTTGAATCTGTCTCTGAATATTTAAATAACAGTTAAACATTTTTCTATTACATTTATTTAATTTATAGGAATGAATTGTAAATCTAGTTTTAATAATGGACAATGTCACCTGTTTCATCAGCATTGCTGAAAAACTTGAAATGTATTGTGACAATAAAGGAATATTTCATTTCATTTCATTTATTACAGTTTAGAGTCCTGCAAACTCGGCACTCGATAACCCGGCAGTCTGGATAACTCGGCCATCACCTGGTTCAGAAAATTAGTGATTTTTTGAGTCCAAGTTAAACATGGACACAAGCCAGCTCAAGTATAATCATTTGCAACTCGTATTAACTCTAGTTCCCGATAACCCGGCATTTCACAAACTCGGCACCCTTCCAGTCCACATTACGCCAAGTTTGCGGGACTCTACTGTACCACTAAGAGCTTTAGTGATATCATTGACTGGCGATATTAAGCCTTTCTGCAGCTGTTTGTTGGGGCAAGGTTGGAGAGTGACCTTTAGGTTGTGTAACAGTTTTTGGTTGAACAGGATTTTATCAAGCTTAAAAACAATATTAAATTTTGGGTTGCCGGAATTCTACCCTCAGAAATTTACCCCCATGAAAAAAGCCTAGGCTACATATCATTTTGATGTCACAGGTCTTGGGGGTAGATTTCCGGCCGTAAACTTTTAGGACGGATAAATTATTATTTATTTCAATCAACTCACATTTCACTGTTTACTTAGCAGTTGTAATTAATTTAAATCCCAATAAACCTAACACCGGAATCTTTTTGGACCCGGAAATCTACCCCCCGTGGTCGGCTACACTTCGTATCGGCCAAGATTCATCGTTGTAGTTGATTTTAGCGAATTTCCCATATAGGGAATAAGCTATTACCGTAGTACTCATGGTAAGACCTGGACGCGGGACCGATTTTTATTAATTGGTAACCTAACTTAACCTAACCTAATAATACTGGATATTAAAAGGCATGATTAACCCTTAGGAGACCCAGACCAACTTCCGATTTTTCGGAAGTTAGTATTTTTTCCTAAAAAGACAAACGGTTTTTCTAAATCAACGGCAGTTTAAATAAACGACTATCTGAAAAAAAATCAACAACAGCATGCATGAAATGTTAATGAGGGCTGCTATTCAAAAGTTATAGCATTTTTTCTATAACATTGCAGAAACTGTTCAAAGTACCCTGGTCCTACGCAGCAAGTCATATACTATAGGGTCGGTCTCTAAAGGGTTAACCGAAGAGCCGTTGATTTACATAATCAATTAATTAAATCAACTACAACAATGAATATGCCCTATACGTAGCATAGCCCACCACAGGGGGTAGATTTCCGGGGGTAGAATTCCGGGATCAGACATTTCTGATTTGACCACTGGGGGTAGATTTCCGGAAGTTAAATTCCGTGGTCTGGCAAATCACGTTATAAGCAAACAATTGTCATGTTGATTATTTAATTATATTATATTGGGGGTAAATTTCTAGTCACGGGCTGTTTCTCGACTATATATAGCGTTGTTGTCAAAATGATAATGGGGGTTAATTTCCAGGGCTAGAATTCCACTACCCCAAAATTTTTACTTTAAAAGATAAAAAAAATCCCAATTTTCATTATAGTCATCATGTAGAGCTTAAAAACAAATAATTTGAACAGAATGGAACCATTTGCCTATCTGTAGCTGACATGTACGCTTTGCTGTGCGTTGAAACAATTTTTAAAATTAAATCTCCTGCCGCATTATTTTTTTTTTCAAAAGAAACATCAGATGACATTCATGGCCAGATGACTAAAAATTATGACCCTAGTTCAATGAATAAGGGTAAAGTGCGGAAATGGGTTAAGGCGTTATAAAAAGTGGCCATGAAAACCTTTTTCCTTTGTGATCTCAAAAACCCAATTTCTTCTGAAATGGTACTTTTCACAGCCTTTTTTACTATATAAGCAAGGCGGAGGCTATAGGATAGGACTGTTCAATGACTAACATTCTATAACGATCTCATTCTCTTGTTACAGAGCCCAACAATGACAGTCCGTTGAACCCCCAAGCTGCTGAGTTGTGGTCCAGACAAACGGAATACAAGAAACACCTACATAGTAGTTTTAAAGAGGCTGTCCCAGACTCTCTTTAGAAAGTAAGATTATTGCATGCATTATTAGTTTTTAAAATTATTTGTACATTTTATAATATATTTGAAGAGGTGATGACTTTTAAATAAATTTTCTGTTCATTAGTTCTGGTTTTAGTTTTTTTCCTCCTTTTTTATGTTAACAGTATAATAACTGTACTGTTTTCAATTTTTCTTTCTTTTCCATTCAAATGTTAACACCACTAATCTCTAAAAGCACAATAGCCCACGTAGATAGGATATCTCTGTATGGTGTAGCTAATCAATAGTCTCATCATTAATATCCTACGTCTATGGTTTTCTAATCCAAACCTTTGTTGCAGAATCCAAAACCCCCTCCAAGATCTCTGTAGAAGATATTTCCATTCTAGATTCATGAAACTCACTGTACAAAGTCCTTACGTGTTAAGATCAAATTTTAATGATAAAAAATGACTTGAAATTAACTGCAATATTTTGATTTCTGTTGCTTTGATATTTATTTAATTTTATTATATTTTGTATCGCTTTTTGATCATATTATGTATCTATTTGTTATTTATTTAAACCTTGATATAATAAATTCAAACTTAAACATACAGTAGATCTTTGATTTCTGATCCTTAAATTTTTATGTACAGTAGGCCTAATGGTTTGGTTATATGTTAGTACAGAGAAATCGTTGGTTTTAATGTCTACAAGCAAACTGACACCCTTGCCAATCCCATACATAACCTACTGTCTCCTTTGTGTAGTACCGGTATAAAAAATTATACAATAAAAAGTAGACTTTCACCATAGATTCAATCATGAAATTCTACTTACAATTTTACTTATAAGGTGAGGTAAAGAATGGACAAATTAACAAAACAACAGCTACACAAAGTAAAGTATATTTACAAAAGAAAGATTTATTATAAAATGTCCTAGCTAATTAAACTTTGTACACGAAAAAGAACCTTACAGATATTCAAGATGTGGACAGTCTCGTAAATTGGGTGTATGAAAATCCAGTAAAAGACAAAGAACAAGTAACATAGGAATTAACAACTCCATTCTAATAAATCATTAATTAACAAATTTATCTATGAGCTGAAATTGTTACAACTCATTAGGATTCAGTTTAAAATTGAGACAATAATTGTCCTGATAAAGAAAAAAAAAACTAGTACCGGTATTAAAAAACACTTAGATGAATAATATTTACAATTACACTAACAAGACATCATGTTCTATTTACACTTGCATATCAGTACACATATTCTCAAGTTGACATTGTTAACAAATACATTGTTTTCTGTAATTTGGCTTACATAGCTGTTGAAATTAACCACAAAAACTATAATCTGAAAGGTTTGTTGAGGGAAAAGACTTTCTTTAGTGGTCTTAGAAAAACAAATTTTCACAGAATTTCAAGACTTCTGAGATTTCAAACTGTCAATGTTTTGTAACGAGTTACTTCCGCAGCTGTTGGTGCTGCATCCGCAGCCACAGTGCTGCAGAACATACGCAGGAAGCTGCTAGCAGACTCAGCAGTAATGTTGAAGCCATCAAGAACACTGACGATGACAGACAGACAGTATCCTGACCTGCAACTGTGACAGACGTAGTATGATTATTGCATTGGTTTGCTTAAAGTCACACTCAGAAAGTATCTGATTTGGTTATGGTTATGGATACATTATGGAGGAAAGAATAGATACACAAGCTATCCAAGAAAAGTATATTTCATTGCTAGGGCGTAAAGTGTCTTTTTGATCCAAGCTCGTGTTTCATAGCTGAGGTCTGAAAATAAGCGAGGTTGAGCACTTTTTGTACACTCCGTTCTCAAAATTTAGGCGATTTGAGGGGAAACAATTCTATTCCCACCTCACCACCTCATACTAACTTTATAAGAACAGGTAATCAACTGATATATGTTACACTCAAACTCCGAATGTCTGCCAGAACGGTCTGCCTTATATGTGTATTTATTTGAATGTTCTTGATGAGTCTACAATGGATGAAGATGTAATGTTCTTGAAGGACCACTTGAAAATGCCTATTTATGGGCGAAACATGTAGTTGATTTGACCATACTATAGTGTACTGGGGACGTAAAGGTATGTACAGAATAAACGAATAAACATAACAGAACATAAAATACCAGAATAAATTACAACAAATTACTACAATCGATACATGCGATTGCATTGCTTACAATCAAAATTTATAACTGATTTTTATTCCCTAGGGAGAAAAAGAGCTACTTTAGACCCGCTGTGCATTTATACAAATTGGCTGTTATTGCTGCAGTAGGACGGAAAACAGTTTAAGGGCACACAAACATTTCACAACATTGTTTAATTTATACAAGGGGGCTGTTCAGAAGAAAGTGAGTAATTTTGTGTATTTTTTTTTCAAATGATGAGTTTTCTGTGCGATTGTAGCTTTTTGATGGTGGTTTTAAACTCGAATGAGCTGAAATTTGGATTTTATAAGGTGCTGACTGAAGAAAATGTTTCCCCTGTTACTAGGTAGTACATAAGTTATAACCCATCTTATGTTTATCATTAATTGATTTTGGTTACAAATTGCATACTTGCAAACCTATTTTAAATAGTGAAATTAGTACTTCGTGATCCATCGCTAAACAAAATTACAGTAGACACTCGATTATCCACAATAATTGGAGGTGTTCAAAAAACAGATTTTTCCACGTAAACGATCTTTAACCGAAAAATGAAATACAACAATATTTTAACTTTCTAGGTGTTGATTGTCTACCACAATCGTAGCAATAACCATGAGCAAATCTTTTGGGCTCGGCAACACCGATGATCGTCTTTTGCTAATGACCTGTGTGTATCGGTCACCTTAAAATTTCAGCTGTAAAAATGTATTCAACAAGTATTGTATGATGATTCCTCTAAATTTTACCTGCTGCCCCGACATTGATGACCATGGCTGCGCTCTGTCTGGACTCCTCTAGGTCCTCTGGAAGGAACACCCTGAGAGTTCGTCCCACTGTCACGGGGTCAGTCAGGTCTAGGGTGGAGTTGTCTGCACTACGTCTTCTCCTGCCTGGCTCGTATTTCTGCAACAGTGTGAGATTGTGTTGAGAAAGCAAAAAAATTATTTAACATCTTTTTGTGGAGGGGAGATATAAATTTAACCTATTTGAATCCAAGCCTTCATTATAACCCGCTAGCTCTTGTCAATTGCACTCTGTTTATGTATATTGCGAGTGTGTGCCAGTTCACCGTTTTCAGTGTCATTATATTTTGATATTGTTCTATGTTTAATGTAGATGCCAAAGTCAACCTAATTAAATCCAAACCAGCATTATGAAACAAAACTGGAAACGTCTGGCAAACTTTACCAATTTTGGAACAAACCAAATTCTTGCCTTTGGTTTATTGAGTGCACTCTTTAAAGATCCATTGTGTAACTTTTACGAAATCGATGAATTTCCACATTGCCAAAAGGTGTTTACAAAGGTTTGTTGCAGATTGGCCAACTGTGAATTGCAAACACATTTATCACGCTATAGGGAAAGATACCGCATAGTGTGAAAGAAACTTAGACACAGCGTAAAACCTTTTTTTAACCGGACAGCAAAAACATATACAGTAGTGTGAAATCACAATTGATGTTCTAACTTCTTAGATAAAACATTGAAAATAAAAATTTGCTTAGTTCCTTTGTTTTCAAAATTTTGAGAAGGTTAATTGTAAAAAGTCTCCTATGACCTAAAGAATTTCATTTAGACAATATTTTTTGACATTTTAAAAACCGTTTAAAGTAATATAGTAAGCTGTGTGGTATACCATTGATCTACAGAAGTATCGGTACAGCATCCAAAGTGTTTCCTTAGAAAATTATCTAGTAAAATTTTATTTTCTAACATTTGTTTCTGGGATAAGTTGGCAAGGATAATGAAATGTTATGCTAACTACTAACTAGTTATTTTGGTTTAATTTATTAGTTCCCAATTCAGTAGGCCTACAATACTGAACTGTCTTGGACTACTTTACCTGGTTGGGATCTGAACAAGGTGCACATTCTGTTTTGCAGAGTTCCACGTTGCATTCTATTGTCAGGTCCATAACATCAGGGAACTTGAATGCCTGACAACAAAAAATACCTGTTTTTACAATCCAAAAATCTATTTAAAAAATTAAATAACACTACAAGGTGTAGTATACTAGTATACCTAACAGCGTCTTTGCGTATATTTAAGTCATCATTGCAGAATTACTTTTGAGAGCCACATTTAATATAACCTTATGTATTTGTGAGTTTTTTTTTCAAATTTACCGTACATATTAAATTTATGCAATGTTTTACTATCTCTAATTTTCAAAGCTATGCTTGGTTTAATTCATCATCTTAAATTCGGTGTCTAAATGCATTACTTCAAAGTAGATCTTTTAGTTTTTTTAACAGTAAGTAGGATTGTTAATGTAATCTGCAGATGTAAATCGACATATTTACATCTATTTTCATTGATAGTTTCTTTGAAGAACCATCAAAAAGATAAACTTTCTTATAGTATAATACACCAAAAGCACTCTGTGTACCTGGAAGAAAGCATATGCTATGACAGCGTTTGTCTCAGGGTTTCTGGTGGTCTGGAAGGCTCCCATCAACTTGGGTTTGACGACACACCCTCTGTCGTCTGTCAACTGTACGACGTTGCCTGACGTGGGGTCGTTGTCACGTGCGACACATTGCCGCACCAACACGTTGAACCCTGGATCGCCCTCAACTGTGACAACCAATGTCATTGTCTCTCCAATCTTCACTAGACCATTGGCAGCTGAGGCAAACGGTCCTCGTCCCATCTGAAAATGTGATGTGAAATAAGATGGATTGAGACTGTGCAATTAGAAACCACTGATGGTTGGTAATAGTACATACAACTTTGTTGTGTGACACACACAAAGACCTGGGTTAAGGATTTTTAAGATTAAGGATTATCACTTATCAAGGTATTATTCGTAAGGCTTTGGAGATGAATTTTGCTTTTTGAACCTTATTAAAATGTGCAATTATTGCATGGGCCACCTCGTACTTAAATATTTCTTATCAAGACTTTTTCAACAAACACATCCAACAAAACAGTGTATTTAAAGCATCTGAAAATCTCACTATCGAGAATCTGCGAGGCCTACCTATTGTGTAAAATACTATTGTTACATACCTGTATGTCTAGACGAGCTGTGGCAGTGTCTCCGCTGAAAGTCACAATCTCTTGACTGAGCATTCCGACGGACAGCGCAACTGACAAAGCTTTGTTGAGATTACCTTCCCATAGACATCTGACACTCCTGATTGTATCCCATACCTGAAACACTCATCTCTGATACATGCTATCGACATGGGAACATGTTGTTTCTACGATTGTTGTTTTGAGATCAACTTGGCTTTTTACAAGAGCCAAGGATTCTACATTAAGGATGCTATGTTCCTGGTAGTTTGGAATACTACATCTGGATCAAGCACCGGTAGTAGCTTAATTTGGGAACCTTGTCTGGGACAACACATCTTGGAGCAAGTATTTAGCTATACACTAAAAGAGGATACTGGAACTTTGTTTTGGATTCTAGATCTGGAGATAAGTACAGAAGTATCTACATCCAGGAACTTTGTCTGATATCTGCATAAGGGTTACTGCATCGAGGAATTTACAATAAGGACACTATAGTTACTACATCCATACAGAAGGAGTAGTAGGAACCTTTTCTACTGCTACTACATAGGAGTTGCAACCAGTGCTGAATGTATGCCTAGGGCCGCAGCGTTTTTTAAATAAAGTTTTAAATTTTTAATGTTATAATTTGCCATAATTTTGCAGCGAACACAGTTAACGATGATTATGTCTACGAGATCGTGGGAGATGTTCAGGGAGTCGTCGCAATTGCAAGGTTCCGTGTAAAACTAATAAATAGTGCTCGATTTGTAAAAAAATAGGTGCCAGAACTGTAACCTATTTAATGTGATTAGTACATATTTATACCAATATTTTTATCCTTCCGATAGAGAGGTACCGGACCGCGTTCCTCCGCAAATCGAGCACTGCCAATACTATTTCGGACAGTTTAACCTAGGATATAGAGGCACAGGGGTTCCAATTTTTGCCACTACACTTATTCAATATCAGAGTGGATATTTATTTTTTGCGAAACATTATGCCATACCAGATATACCAAGTGCCAAAAAAGTGAAAAAAACAGTGTGCATTAGTTTTTGTTCAAGTTTGTTACAGTTGGTTATGGATCAGACTGATCTGTTACATATTCATTCAAGGATACTATTACTAACTCAACTTAAGCCTAGTCCACACACTTGGATATTGAGTCTCTCGACACAGTTTGGAAGCAAGTTTCAAATTTTTTTTGCGTCCACACTAGCTGGCCAGTGTTTATCGGTATATTGACTGAAGAGGACGAAGTTTTATCCTGCGTGTGCTTACTTCTTAACCATGGCTATTATCTATTATATTGAGGATGAGACAACACCCAAATTTCTCTAGGAAAGTTCATACTATTGTTAAATCCTACTATCAGACCTTTGAATTAGAATATGTCGTGGAATTTAGAAACTTAAAAAGAATGACTCCAACAGATTTTGAGGTTCTGTTAAATGCTTTGTTGGGCCAATGATAACAAAGAAATATAAAAGAGACATCACTAGATTAGATACAAAAGGCAACACTACGGAGACACTTCCGAAGACAAATCACCAAGTGTGGACTAGGCTTTATATGTTATTTGAAATAACTATAGGCATTACTCTTTCAAAAGATATTTGCCATACAGATATTTCTCTGTATTAAATACTGTAGAGAATTTTACATTAAACATTATTCATTACAAATAAACAATTGAAATGAGCAAAAGTACATTCCAGAACATTTATTAAGTTTTTGCTTGACAGACCTATTAATACAGAATCAAGTTTTCAAATTTGGTTTAGTTCTTTTTCATGAAAACAAGGCAAACGTCTTATAATACTACTACTAGAGAATGTTGTTTCAAATAATAGAAACAACTAGTGCACCTGTTGCTCGAATTCGAGCAATTGCTAAGTATTACAGGCGTTATATATATTATAAAGCAAATAACAGTCACAATTTCCGATGACTTGAGTCAACAAAGACAGATTTACTCCACTCCAGTTATCTAAACTGGAAACGAACTCACTCTGAAAACGAACGCTCACTTCACTCCATATATCTATCGAATCTGAAAACGAACACTCTTGTGTGTATCATGTGTTTACTATGAACAGCTGTAATTAATACAAATTATTCGTCCGTTTAAGTAAACAAAATTTTTTATCCATAAGAAATAAATTGGGATTTTGATGGCCTGTGGGGCAAAACCCGAGGACTTTTATTACAGGAATTGGTGAAAGGGGTATCTACACAAACAATACTTCATTTTGACACATCGTTTGTAAAGATCCGTCCATTATTAACGAAGGAGTAGTGTTTCGTAGAAATTGCCTTCACGTATTATATATAAGGATGTCTATGCTTGCTATAGCTGTGTGAATGTGCAGGTGCATTAAATAGTGTTACTACAAATACACAAACATGCTTCATGCTGTCAGTTAGTTTGATGCAAGGATTATTTTTGTTAATTCCAGTTTTTATAACTAAGTTACAGGTATTTGTTAAGCGCATGTTAAAACACAGACAAAATGAAACATAATATTGATGTTGACACAGATGATGATAATAACACTTAACTATAGTTCGGCCGCTTAGAAAACGACCTGCGCGCTAATGCTAAACCAATGCTGGAGGAGGTCGCTTTCTAAGCGGCCGAACTATACAATATAATTTCTAACTAAAATAACTAACCAACTCTGGTAAACTGCACAAACATGGGTCGATAGCAATAATTGTGATAAATAGTTAAAAATCCTGTTTAGTTTTATAGAAGTTTAGCAATATATTGTACCAATTTTAATTCAGAATAATGTGTTTGATAATAGAAGAGATTATAAGATTGTGTGGGACACTATTTATTAATATTTCAGTAAAAAAATGTACCTGTGTATTAATTTTACTAACTTTAAAAATACTCTACTCCAAGGTTGTTTTAAATTAATAAATGACAAAAGGGTAAGATTAGAATAGGTAAAATTTTTACATTTTTAGGTTGTTTAGCACCCTACAACCCATCACTTGGGGCTAGGGTGGAATTTTCAAATATTTTGAACAGCTACAAAAAGGAAACAAGCTAATAATTTTCTTTTTTTGAATTTTCGCCAAACACATCTCCAATTTTTTTAAATAAAAAGTATAATCTTAATTTCTTTGTAACAGACCTATACCTTGTAAGGGATACATACCATTATGGTATAAGTCAAATGTATAGATTAATGTTGTTTGGGAAAATAAGTTAAAGAATTAAAAATAAACGTCCTCCTAAAGTCCTTTTAAACAATATGTGATTAGAAAAGCGGATCCCAAAAAAATCCCCACTTGGCACCCGGTCAATTTCAAATCTTTTGTGTCCAACTTATTAACTCCAATAATAATTGGGTTTAAATAAACTAAGATTATTTGTTTTAAACTAAAAGTTAACATAGAATAAATCACTGGATTGGAACTGACAAAAAGTAACTTCTGTTTCTAAAAAAATGTGACACATTATATAATTACCTCACTAATGATTTAAAGAAAAGAACCCAAGGGAATCAGCTAGTGCTCAAGGTGATACAAATGAGGGAATTGATAGAACCCCTGGATTGATATTTTCCCAAGTATTGAGATTGAAAATTTACCCAACATAAATATTCAATCACATAAGGAGTAAGTGCTATCATAGTAATCAGAGTTAGGACTAACAGAGAAATAGCTGTGTATGTACAGTATAGTTAATGGTACAGTACTATATAAAAAAGTAATTACTGTTCATTGTTACTAAATTAAATCTGTATTTATTTATCTTATGAATGCCTGTATATTCCAAAACGATTTTGACAAATGATTACTATTGAATATTACATTTCATTAATATCTTTTATAAAGGGTACATACAAATATTTGAAATTAACCAAGGAAAATCTTTGATATTTGCCACCCTTGTCACATAATTTCCATTTAAATTTGTTTTGTTTTCTTTCATTTTCCCCAGTCAAAAGAAAAAAACTCAGGTCTTTTTGCAGCCTTCAAAGTCTATGATATTTTAAAGAGGGGGAATTGAGAAACAGCCAAATCAGGTGTCATTGGCTTTAGCAATCCCTAAAATCCGCCACTAAATTATCTCAATTTAAATCTCAATTAGAATCAATGCCTATTACTGCACTTACACCCGCTCTGAGTTTATCCCTTGGATTATTTCTTAAACACTTTCAGTTCTTGTTCCTTGAATCTTTTTATTATTGCATCGATTTTTAATATGACAATTAGTTCTTTACTTCAGACAATCAATTTTATGTCCAACCCAATTTATCCAGTGATTTATCTATTTCACCAGTGAGTATTACTACGGATGGATGTGAGAAGCCAAGCGTTAGTTGCTTACAGGATTGAGAGGTGGGGGTTCGACTCCTACCTCCTGAATGCCTGGTTCGTTTTGTAGCACGAGAACGTTCTCGAGGTAGGCCTGCTTACCCTCACTGAACTGATCCACGAACTGAGTTCCACAGCTGTTCAGCATCACGGTGAATGAGTACTTGGTCTGGCCTGAGTTGGGGGTGACGTATCTACATTCAGGGTTGTTGTAAAAACCCTGTGGAAACAATTGTTGTATGGATTATTTGTTTGGAAGAGGTTCTGGAAACAAAGAGCGGGTTGTAAAAATACGTAGTAAAGCTATATACTTTAATTCTTAGATAGACAATGTTTCAATCATGAGAACATCCAGCAATTTAAGATTATATTGCCTTCTTTCATTTGGTGGCTAGATATACTGGCTTTAATCCACAATTAAACACTCAATGGGAAAGTAATCTATAAATATAAAAGGCAAAGCCCTCACTGACTGACTGACTCACTCACTCACTCATCACTAATTCTCCCACTTCTCATTTACCTAGGAGGCCGAAATTTGGTACACTGATTCTTTAGGCATTAAATAGGAAAACTAAGTTGTTTTTATTCTGATCGGACTCTCGGGCTCCGCCCCAGTGGCTCTGGAGTTTCCCATGTTAACCTTATGAGTACTCATATTTAAATGGAATTAATTAATCTTATGGTTTCAATTAAACAAGTTGGTTCTGTTCTATGATGTTCAATAGCATTAAAGTTACAAGGATTACCAACAGGGTGCAGCACTATTTTTTTTTTAATTTATGACAACAGCTAATTTGCAACCAAAAGGTGAGTGAGCGTAGCGAACGAACTTCAATCTGGAGGCGAGTTAGCGTAGCAAACGAGCTAACCTGAAGGCAAGTGAGCGGAGCGAACGAGCTCCAACCTAAAGGTGACTGAGCGTAGCGAACGAACTTCAACCAGGACGTGATTGAGCCATGCGAACGAGCTCACTTATGAAGTAAAACGGGGCAAAGCCCGCGGGTACAGCTAGTAATTCTATATTCGAACTTTTAAGTGCTGTAGAACACGTCCCTTAGGAATGTATCAATCTAAAATAGTCAACCAAATAACCTACATAAGAGAAAATTCTTGTAAATTTTCAATCCAATCAATTGAGTTGATTTTGGGCCGGGAATGAATATAGCTCAACAACTTTGTTTTATGTATTTAGATTAATTAATTAATAAAAAAATATGGTTTGATCAATATTTTACCTTTGAGTAAACCACTCCGTTGAAGGGCCTGTTAAATTCAATGTCGATAGTCATCATATCTTTGGCACACTGAACATTGATCTCGTGAATATGAGGAGGATGGGATTCATCAGAATCAATCCCATTGCCGATTTCCATCCCAGGAGAGGGGGGGAAGTAAACACCTCCCCCGCCCCCAGATGGGCCAGTAGGGGAAACACCAGGACCAGTGGAGGAAAATCCTGATCCCCCAGAACTCCCGCCACCTCCACTTCCACCTCCAACACTACCGGTGGAAGTGAACCCTGGGCTGCTACCACCCGTGGAAGGAAGAAAGGGAATTTTGGAAGGTCCCTCGTCAGGGAGAAAGGGAGCTTGAGGGGAGGACGGAGGACCGTAAGGTGGCTGAGGAGAAGATGAGGGTCCAGGAGATGGCTTGTAGGGAGGAACGGTTTCCTGGGAGTATGGAGGAACGGTGCCTCCGGTGGAAGTAGGGTTGTATGGAGCAGGAGTCTCGGGAATGTTGAAGCTTGGAGTGGGTGACTGAGGAAAGGGGTAGCCTGTGGGAGTGGAACCTCCAAAGGTGGTTTGATACCCGTTGGTCTGGAAGGGTCGAGGCTTCTGGGTTGTTGTGGGGTTCGGACGCTGAGGTAAGTACTGCCTCGATGGAGTTTGGACTTCTTGTCGTGCTGGAAGGAAAAGAAAGTCTGTCAGGAATATGTATTCTATTGTGAACTTGAAAGGATTTCAGAAGTAAAATAGATTCGTAAAAATGAAAAGTTTTGGGCCATAGAGGCAATATCGGGATTTAAATCAGGCGTAAACAGTTTATTTGATACTGTAGCTAATCAATTAATTATTTTTTAGCCACCATCGACTTTAATGTGATCTGACGTTTTATCCCTGTTTGAGGCCAGTAACCTTGTAGCTTCAGATCAGTAACAACACACTACTGTACTATCAAACTAGCACCCCTTGTACTGCACCAGCTCATCCTTTGCTTTGCTGGATACATTCTTCGCATAGGCCCAAAGCCTAAGTGGACGGACAAATGCAATGTTAAAAGAGGCCACCAACCTCTTAAAAAATTGACTTTATACCAAATTGTACTGTGGTCAGTATGTTACTGGTTATAAGGTACTAATGTCAACACACCTCGTCAGTACCGGTAGTGGATGTTACTTTACTAAAATTGAGATCATGATAGGAATATTGTGCGAGTATTATCGTCTATACATTTCTTTGTGTTTAAAACTGTATACTAATTTTTTTTAAATATTGTAAATGCTCTACCTTTGCGGGCGTTGGAGTATTTGCCTTGTAGCCACTCTAGAATCCCCTGCACTGTCTGGTCCATGGTGGAAGAAGACAGCGAGGATGTGCTTTGTCTCGGCACTCTGTCACTTGTGTGTTCTGTCAATGAAAATACATAATATTTAATTACCGGAATCCTCTGCAAGCTTTACAAACTGAGTAGAGGTAGACTTTTTCTTATTGTGTTATTGCCTTTTTATTTTGTTAATTATTCCCAAAATGAATCATTAATATATTTGCCACATTGCTACAAATTTGAAGAATTCAATAACCTTATCTAATGCTAAATAGTCAATAAATCTCAATCCTCGATTCACAAGTTACATTAAAGGTAAGTATGTACAGTTCAATCGAATCTGCAAGAATGTATACAAGTAACTAGTTAATCCTAGGGTTCACTCCAAATTTGGATTGGGCTTGAGACTGCTAAACCTGACAAACAAGAAATGTTCATCATCCTTACATGAGACCAGATTGAGAATCCGTCTTCAGGTATATTTTATTATCTTATTGTGTGTCCAGCATGGTTTCTTACAGTTTGGTGAACTTCTAAGAAACACTAGGCACCACAAAATAAGAAGTATCATAGCAATTATGCCTTCCGAAAAAGGTATAATACATGGGAAGTGCAAGAAGAAGTACACTGTCTTTCTTCTAACGGAAGCACCAGAAGAGTAGATATTTTATTAATCGAAAGAGATACTAACAAAGGCATAATTCTCGATCCTACAATTCGATTTGAAACAAACATAAATCAAGCTAACGAAGTAAATGAAGAAAAGAAAAAAATTTATGATTCTACCTTTGAATATTTCAAGCAAAATTTTAAAATTTCAAAAATTGAGGTGATTGGATTGTTTATTGGTTCTAGAGGAACATTATCAAAATTTTTTGTGAACTTTTGGAAACAATATGATTTGGACGGATCCTTTTTGAAAATTATTATTCATGAAACATTGAGGTTCACTGGCCATAATGAGAAATCATCTATATGGCAAACATCAAAATTAATCAGTCTCATAGCTGTGTATAATCCTTTGATATTTCATGTGTACTATTTTTCTGTGTCATTGGCAACCTTATTTTTAAGGCAGAGGTATTTATTTTTATAAATAAATTCTTTTCTCTCTAATTTTCAAAAATTGACACTTATGTAATGCATTTCCCACTTACTAGAACTACTGTTACTTGACTGTTTGATGTACTTTACTGTTAATTTATGAGTTTAAATTTATGAGTAAATACCATATCGGTGCAAATGCTCGTTGTATGGGGATGGAGCATCAATATCCCTCACAAACAGTGCTTGTTGTACATGAGAATGGCTGTTGTGGAACTGTCCATGTGTGTGACATACTGCCAGCTGTAATCAGGGGTAAAAATATACATTGATTAGTGTGGCAAAACCAGATTCAACCTTGTAGACATCATTGCCATGTTAGTCTTTGTAACCTTTGTCTGTAGCCAGTTTTACAATAAAAACTTACTTAGTTAAATTAAACCACTGACAGAGTATGCTGTCAGAATGTTTTTATGCAGGGAATAGATCTGATAAATTTAAGAAAATATTTAAGTATAAATCCATTGGAAATATGCAGGTTTGCTATGGCGGGGTATTTGAACTATTATCACAAGCCATGATCCAAAAGAGCTTTATGAAGAAAACTTTACTGGCTGAATAAATAAAAAATAGCAAATGTAATTTGTATAAACTTTAGTTAATCTTTTGATGCCTCCAGAGATAATTTCATCCAGGAGGGATAAAATTCTTAAAACTAGTCAATGCATTAAGACAGTTTTGTTTATTATAGTATATGTTGTGTTAGCTCACCAACAAAAGAGTTGCTTGGCCCAAAGTCTGCATTCTGGTCCTGAAACAAAAAATTCATTTAAAACACAATTAACTGAAGAATATTAAGCCTAATAATGACAAACGAACAAAATGCTTCTTTTTGCACCATCGGAAATATGATTGGTTTGCAAACTCTTCGATTGTTAGTATTGTGAAATTGACTCTTTCTTCGCAGTGATAATTTCACACGAGGTACGCAAAAAACCTATAGGATATGAAAGTGAGCAAAGAAAACTAAAAATACTCGTATAAATAATCAACCAGTTGATCTAAACCCACTGTAACACAACCGATGTTGTTTACTTCCGTAGTCCATAAATATACATATATTTCCTGGAAGGTAGGTTTCCTAAACTTTTTCAAAACTGACAAATACTTAAAAAATTCCTATGCTGGCTGTACACAGGTTTGTGAGATTATCATAAAGTTTGAAGTAATTTTGGTCATTGGTAGGATTTGAACTTCAGTCTCCGTGTCAGGAGGCCGGCACTCTAACTTCTCTAACCACTAGATCCACACCTCTCATATAAACTAAGGTTTATTTAGAGTAACTATCCAAAAAACATTAAATTAAAGGGTAGGCTTTCACAGTCAAAAATCTGTCTAATCTTACTCATCTGCCGAAGACCAAGATTTGACGGTCAGTACACAAATCAAATCTTCAGTAGGCAGTAGATTTGGCAGTAGGTTTGACTGCTAGATTAAAAAAAATGTAATTCCTGTCCGATCAAAATTAACTTTCCTTCAAAATAAGAATTGTGTAAAAAGTCAAGGGGTTGATTCAAAATCTGTAGACAAAAAACCTTAACGTTTTAATATTTACTTTTCGAATATTGCCCACTCAATCAGCTAAGCTAAAAGCATGTCATAAAGAGCGTGTGACTGCATCACATACTCATTCAAGACAAAACGATTCAGGTGCTTTCTCCTAAAGTAGATGCGTCATCGTCTGCGCTGCCCACTGAAGATACTCCTCCACAGATACCGGCGCAGTACCCGGACAAAGATAACAGCTGAGAACTAGAGTCACTCCCACAAGGTCAACGCTGTTTACGGATCGTGTCAGGTCGTGACTCTTTGAAATCTCTCCGACCTTCCCGAGCTAGGCTGTGACAGCATCCGATCTTCACTTTCTTCTGGAGCCTAATCACTTTTATTAAGTCAACCATGCACCTACGCACTTTGTGTTCTTTAGATATGACTGCAATGTGAGTGTAGAAACGAGTTTAGCTCGTTCAGCCAGGTCATATAACAGTTTTAAGATGGAGAGCAGCTAAGGTCAGATAAAGTGAAAAATATAATGAAAATGTATTCAAATCAATAAAAAATATTGCGTATGTTTTTGTCAAGAGAACTGTAAACACCCATCTATCCGATCCTACATTTGTAAATTAACCATTAAATTAGGCCAGCGTAAGCGTCTTTGATGTCTTTTAAGCTGAATGTGCTGGAGGGTGAGCTTCTCGTTTTAAAGACAGTGAGACATTTGCAAGAGAGCAGCAGTCCAAATCCCACACATGTAAGTGGATATGCAGAGGAGAAAAAAGGCATTCCTTTAGTTACTTTCGCTTCAAAGTCCGAGACGCTAACCACTAGCAACCCACCAAAATAATTAATCAATGAATAGGATTCACCGTTCCTGTAGCCAGGATCTCAACCAGCCTAATGAAGGGCAGCTAAGCCCAGTTTCGATCATTCATAAATCTAATAAAAGTGAAATCAAAAACATTCAAACTATTACAGTATGTTTTTGTATAAAGGAGAGGAAACATTAAAAGTTAAGTTGTCGTAATTAAGTCAATAAATGGGACTGAATCAAGGCGTTTCGATTATAAACGGCTTTATCCTAGAATGATGACAAAAGCATGGACAAGCTAGAAGTAAGTAATTGTAACCATAGAATAGTCGACGCTCTCTCATTCCTAACTGTTCACTTATAGATAGGCCTACGTGATCGTTAAGGACCACATGAAGACGATATCAAGGAATGTTCCTACCTGGTCATTTAAATAATTTATTTTCAATAATATTATTATCACTCTTTCTTGTTGTTGGGTTCTTGTCCTACACCTAAAAGTGTACAGACCCCTAAGTGAAATGTGACCAGGAGTAAAAAATTAATCTTCAGCGTATTCAACATAAACATACATCAACAAATTTGCGATTTTATAATAGGATAATAAAATTATTTTTACAGTATCCAGCAAAGTCAGAATAATGGGGAATTATTGTAAATGGTGTCAAGGACTATGATAATTCATTATAACTTATCAGCTTTAAAACATCGCAGTTTGTTTTTCCTATTTTCGTTACAAACCTATGAGCCCTCATACGTTGCGTAATTTTTCTAAAAATAATTCGGTAAATAAATGTAAATGTCGTTTATTATTAATGATTTTTTGTGAACGCAATATGTATAGACTTTATTTAGATTTGCTGTTATGTTAAACTTAATATTTTGGCAATAATATGATGATGTGATTGAAATACGGTATGATTAAATCTGACCCAAAGTCAACTATAGGAAAAAGTACCGTGTTTTAATGAGGTTAACGGGAAGTAATATTACAAACATTATGAGAAATAACGCAATAACCAACAAAACAATAGACCGACGACATTGGCGTTGCTCAAGGTAGAGTCCAGTTTTATTTTGCCTATGCAAATAATTGTTGCGTAAGTCAAAACAGACACCGACTAATAGCTTTGTTAGATGATACCGTGTGTCTTTTAATTAAGAATGTGTATTCAAAATGTCTACTGATATAGTAGGCTAAGACTTATAAACTTTCTCACTAATTATAGGTATAATATTCATTTTTTTTAGTCGTATAAAAATGTATTTTACTTAAGTTAATTTTGAAGACATTTTCGTTTGGTCAAAGTGATTTGTAATAGTAAAATTTTGTAAAATAAATTTAAATTATTTAAAGAAGTATCCAATTTGATATGTGGGTGTTTTTACTGAAGCTGGCCTAGCCTTTGCAGAGAATTGACTTGGGGGTTTACATTAAATCACATTAATAATCAACTAAAACCCTGAATTGTAAGCTTTTTGCACAATTAATTATCAATCAAATACAGTAGGCCTATAACCAAGGATAGGCCTATCTAATTACACTGACAGGTACTTTTGCAAATTTAATCTTATTATTGATTGTTGGATTTATGACTGTATACAGGATGATTTCAAAATTCGATACTGTTACTATTGATTATATACTACTTATAGACAATTTTATTCTCATCCTATTTAAAAATCTTAAGCATTTTTAAAATGTGTATATTATGTCTGGTAAGGCTTGAGTTTTTAAATGTAGAATGGAAAAGTTTAGAGTATAGACGATACTGAAAATGTTATATTGAAATACCAGTGGATAAGCATTACTTTGTGAATGTATAGTTTATAATAATTTTAAAGTTGGTGAAATAACAAAAATCTAGTACATATTATCTTTCTACACACTCTTCCCAGATCGAACAGAAAAATATCTTATAACTGGCTTCCATTAATCTATAAGATGACCAAATCTGTAAGGAAGAATTTTTTACCCACGATGTACCAAACCGAGGGTTATACTCCTTTACAGTCATTCCCTTGGTGTTAAAAACGTCTATATAACGTATATACAAAGTCTATACAACATAAGAAATCAACATATGGTCCTAACACCAGATGAATTGAAAATATTATGAAACCTATCACTTCAACAATTCCTCTCGTAAACAAATAACTCAACGGAAAACCGGTCTGCAATATTATCTCACATTTTTAGAAGATTCCTTAGTTGTGCAACCTGGGTAATGTGCCATCAGGGGTCGCGGACCTTGGACAGGGGACTCCTGGGATCGGGAAGTGAGAGGAGGAGGAGAAACCTGTACAAAGGTTCCAGGGGTCATCCTCATCCTGCGACCTTCCGTAGCCGCCGGCGACACTGGCGTGCACAATGTGCAGGACATGCAGGATGCAGGATCTGCAGAACTACAGAAGATGACTCAATCCCAGGTGACGATTGGATAGATTAGCTGACCGAGGTGTCAGCAGCCCCGAGCAGTTCATTTGTTCACACGCCACGAAACTTCTGTCCGCTCCACCGTTGAAGTCTCCAGCGTAGATCGTAGTTTTCTGAACGATGGGTTTGCATAATCTTAAATCTTCCATATATTACTTGAAGCCCTCAGTACATATATTTTTCTTTTATTTACTAATGGTTGTTCATTGGGGTTTAACTATGATGTAATAAATATTTTCTTGTAATTTTGAGACACGTAATAAAGAAATTGACTTTTCGCCGTTTAAGTCTTTCGCACAGATCAAAAATGTCAAAAGTTTTATTTTTTCAGGACGCAGCTGGTCTAGTGGTTAAAGCACAAGTCTTCAAGTCTAGAAGTGCGAGTTCAAATCCCACCAATTGCTAATGGTTTTTGGCTAATGATGATGATATTTTCTCGATGATTCGGAGACCACACTAAGCTGTAAGTTCACCAAGTTATACGAATTTTGAAAGTTTCTGGGACAAAACATATTTTGTGTATGAGAAGAGCCTCTTCAATAAAAACGAAAAACTCATTGGCTTAGGGTCAAAACGTAATTAATTTACAAAATTACTTCAACGTCTTTATGTATTTTCGATCATCTCTCACTACAACCAATACTAATCGATGGTGAGTTAACGGATGATTTGTTCTGTCAAACCTGTCGACCTATTGCGTTGGGTTGAATTGCAACTTCAACTTCGTCATCGCAGTACATAAACCAGGAACTAAAGTCTTCGGTGAAGGGAAAGTGGCAGCAATGATTTACAATGACACATTTAGAGTCAATAAATGACACTGCTTGGTTTGAAGACACCTAATCATGGACATGCCTGTCAACTTACACCATCAATCAAACGAATTTTACACGTCGTTGGATATTGGGCAATAGAAGTGAGTAGTTGAAGATTTTTATGCTTTTGCAATATTGTAATAACCACCATCTTCTTGTTTCTATATACTTATGATGTTACAAAACCTACT